CTTTCTACATCTTTCAGCGATTCAATGAAAAGTTCAAAGAGCCTCGTTTGGACATCGTGATCGATACATGAAGCAGTATATCAAAAGCCAAAGTGTGAAAAGCTAAAAAATGCAGCCTATCATTTTTTACTACTGTTATCAATGCTATTCATTTGTTGTTTGCTGAAAAGAAGTTATTTCTTGTTGTGTTTGTTTGGCGTGACATTTATGCCATTTTAAAGCATAATCAATTCAGGACATCACCTGCCATTATCAAGTCATGGAAACTTTCTCTCATCTGCGAACAACCAGTTTTAACTCAACGATTTTCGTGCTACCTTGAGAAGATGTTTTCGTGATTGTTAACGATGTCGTTTATCCGTCAGTATTTGAAAAGATTACTCGTGAATCCAAAAAATAAGGGAGAGAGTAGTTTCTACTATTTTCCTTGTTCAGTAAAAAATAACCCGAGAGATTTCATGATATCCTAAAAGAAAAATACACGCTGTAACATGACGTTTCGGCGTCATCTTGTCGCCATTATCCCAACTGCAGATTTAATAAGTCGTTCAAGATGGCGCCGAAACGTCATAGCGTCTATTTTTTTTCATGATCAAGAAAAAATGCTGCCCGTATTCCGTAAGCTTTGCTTGGCGTGTTCGCTAACACAACCAAAATGCCTGTCTCCGTTCACTGAGCCTGGAATCGATTCATTTTACAGTGCCCATTTTGTGTTTTGCTTATGGTCACTCGTAATCATTTCAAGGTCGTAAATAAAATTGCTCTATTAAGGAAGTTCGTAGTTTGTAAGTTGTCCTCCACACCTCTCCGATCCGTGTCTCTTACTACACTTTAGTAACCACCATGCCATCAGCTGTCATTCCTGATGAATGAGCAGAGCTTGCCTGGCTGATGTCACTTGCTGCTGCTCCGTGGTCCGATTCACCGTCATCATCAAGATACGAGTCCAGTTTGGAATCCTGTTGAAAAATCAACTGTCAAAAGTGATATTTTTTCCTAATCCACTAGCTTCATAAAGAAAGCTTTGGCTGTTTCTTCTGGATGGGATGCTGAGTCAGTATCATATATAGGGAGAGGTTGAGGCACTGTAATACAAGAGGGTTGTACAATAACATAACGCAAGGATCATTCTGTATGTGACCTCTGAATAGATGCAGCCCATTACAATGAGTCAGACCGTTTCGAGACCACACCTTCCTTTAGAACTGCACACTAGACTAAAAGGGTTGGAATATTGGTTGAAAGGAATTTCTTGACTCAAATATGCCGTAAGCAGAATTCAATTTTTGTAAGTGTTTTTTTTTTTTGGCAACAGTTTTAAGTTTGTCCCTAAATCCAATTATTAATGTAAAATTCTTTGATTATCTAAATCGCGCACGGTGCACTCCAGGAAGTTTCAATTCTGCTTTTACCTGTGATAAGTAATAATCACCCTCATCCCAAATTCTGTCTTCCAGTGAACTACATGAAAAGAATAAAAGGAAGTTAGGATTTCCTTCTAAAGTTTATAACTTAATTAATGCGCTATGGATTCATCTATTACATTCAAGACAGTGACATATACAGTAAATAGCTTTCTATAATTGCACAATTAAGACACATCCACGTGTATAAGGGCACGCTACGTCAAACTTACTGCGAAAAACTAAGTAATAAATGACATTCTTCAACGCTACAACAAACCCAGTTGTGACAAAAATTATTATGCAAACAAAAGAAGCGAGTAAAATTTATCCTGTACAGACTACGGGTGGGGGAAAAACTACCAGCGCTTACTTATTTCTGCTTTTTATTAATATTGATTGTTTTTGAGTCATTTTCTGGCGTTTCTCTGACGTTTTGAATAATCAAGAAATCCAAGATGGCGGATCAAAGATGGTGACTGTGGGAATATCATGATGTACATGTAATAGGGTTAATATAAACAGCCAGATTTCTGTAAGGTCAAATTCCTTCAGTGTTACATCAAGTTATTGACTTACTGCCTTTTCTTGGTCAGGGCATATTCTGAACCGAACATTCCTGGATCACTTCCATATGAACTTCCCGGACGAGACATTCTACAGTAAAAACAACTTTATAATGAGAAATGTTCCAGAAAAAAAAAACAAAAAAAAAACACTTAATTCCAAAACCATAGATGTATAAGGTACAAAGTTGAAACATACTTGACGGAGGCAACGCCTTTGCCCTCAATAGAACTGATAATGTCATCGTACTGTGACCAGGAACCACTACAACGGACAAAAAAACAGTAATTATGAAACCTGGCAATATGGCCGGCCTGATTTCTAAGCGATTAAACGGATACCAAAAAACTGAGCCCTCTGTATAGGAATAGATGACCAGAAACACACACGGAAAATGACATCTCTAGATGTAAAATACTCACTGACGATTAACGTCACCAAACTTTCTTCGCCCTCTTGGTGAGTTGTACATGTCACGTTTCTTAACTCTGTGAATAGAACAAAGGAATATAAAGATTGGCCATTCAATAAATAATTGGGCCTTACTGTACCGTGTTTTACCTTTAAAGTGGCTAATGACTCGGTCATAGAATTGATCGAGACATCACAGTAACGTCTTAAAAATCTAGACAAACTCAAAAGAAACAAAGAAAAGCCAAAAAAGGAAGCACGGATGGGAAAATTGGGAAAGACTAAAACGGACTGCATTTGGCCAAACTTGAAAAACGTACGGTCGAATCTTTTCAAGTTTATTCTGAATTTGTATGAGAGTGTCATTTATAATGTTCGGACTTTGGTGACCATGATTTTGCCAATAACAGACAGCTGCTCTGCCAATTTGAAGTGTACAACTCGTAATTAACCAAAATACACAGATTTACCTAAAACACGGTGATCTAACCCTTTGAATGAGTGATCAACATCACAATTCTCCTAACGATATCAATATCAACGTACTAAGGACTGAATTAACAGATTAGCAAGGAAATCCAGAGTAAGCAGTACGATAGGTAGATAACAGAACCTTTTTCGAGTGACAGAAGAGTTCAACCTTTCCTGTAACAGAATTGTGACAGGACAGTATTTTACATTGATTTGGTGACTATGATCACGATGATGAGTAACCTGGTCGAAACAATTGAAAAGCGATCAAAATGGGTCCATTTTGGGCCAATGAGAAGATCAGTTTTAAATTACCTGCAGCGGGTCTTAATAGCGAAGCACAGACCAAGCAACAACAGCAGCCCCACAACAGATCCCAAGATGATCAGCGCCAGTTCAGCGTTACCCAGGCCACTATCATCTGCTGGAGGCTCTGTTGTAGTGGAAATCGGAGCCCTTATCTTCCATCTGGCGTACAGAGTCTCTAACTTGTCAGCGTGTTTTTCAATTGTACTGAAACGAAGGAATTAGAATTCGAACTATAGCTCTGATATACTATAATTAATTTGAAGTAACGGTGCGTCGTCCTGTGTTTGTAGAGATCACAGAAAAGAGAATCAAACGAGAAAAACCCACGGGCTTGGCCGGCTGGTCTTACAATTTATATCGGATATAACTTAGTAAAGATATTATATGTAACCTATGATATGTTGAGTAAGATCCAATTCTTTAAAGGCTAAAGCCAGTTTTTTTTCGTTGATATTGGATTTTACCCCCGAGACGGTAAAAAAAAAAGCAAAAAAAATCAAAAAACAAAAAAAAACAAGCAAACAAAACCGAGATGAAGTGACTCATCGCAAAGCCTTCAAAGATTTTGAGGTCGCATTAAGATAGTCCCCGAAACCTGCGTTTTTTATGTACCACTCACCAGCCCCTGAAAGCAAAGTAGCTAGTGAAGCATGCCGCAACTTATTAATAAACAAGGCCTAGTCATTTAGCAGTTGCTAATAAAGGTACATTCCTCGCTTAGTATTTTAAAGTTCATTTACCTTAACACTTCATCACTGGTCATGATCTTTTGATGCTCAACATTGACAGCATGGAAGAGTACTTCAGAGTTAGCGATTTGTCTCCCATCGGTAGTCTCAGCAAAGACCTTGAATATCGCTTCTATGTTCACCTCGGCTTCAGTGATGTTATTCAACATACTAGAGGGGCGGCATCAAAAACTAAGAAGTGTTTCTATCACGTTTATTAATATCAAAAAAGCTACAGACTGATTTTAAATTACAGTACATGTAAATTCCACGTTACATGCGTCACAGTATGATACTGATGATAAAAAAAGTAACTTTCGGATAAAGCAACTCGTCACTTTAAAAAAAAAAAGAGAACAAGATTATGATGGAATTGTTGGCATGATACAGAGAAATTACCCTAAAACTTGATTAGAATTCAAATAGGCGATCGTTGTAAACCTCTGCTAGTCTCGATCATGAAGATGAGATGCATAAATAGTTTAAAGTTACAATTGTTAGTAACGCCCGCGTAAAACTGGAAGAGATAGAATAATAACCTGATAAACTCCTCTTTATTCTGCTCGATGAGAGATGGATCAACTTGAGCCTTGAGAGTGACTCTCTGTTCATCAACAAGAACGAATATCTGGAGAACAAAGAAGACATGTCGCAAAAGCGTTCTTCACACTGCACAAAGCTAACAGGGTTTTTAAACTTAGGGTTAGGGTTAGGGATACGGTTAGACGCAATGGGAAAGGCGCAATGCGCCTCCTGCCGTGAGGAGGCGAAGATGACGAGATGTATTGGCAATTATATCGTTACCTTTTTCTTTATTTAAAGACTTGTCCCGGGGGATACCCCCTATCATGTCCTATTAGAGGAGGCTCCGCACGGAAGGGGTATCTTTTTCAGGCTTAAGGTATAAAACCTGGATAGGGATTTCACAAGTTGAGGTATATGAAGGGGCAGAGAAATGCAGGTCCGACGTGAACATGAACTGAGTATAAAATTTCTTTTAGTTGTCTCGTTAACATCTCTCCTGGTTATGCTTGATGTTCTCTGGTGATATTGCTCATTCTTTCCAAGGGTTTAGAAAAGGGATGCAGTGTTCTCAAGTAGGGAAGTGAAAGAGGTGCTTTTTTCAATAAAAAGGTCTACGAAAGGGTTATCATTTCTTTCAAAATAGTATACAAAAGGGTAAGGGGTTGAACCTTGGGGTGGAGTCTGCCCGTATAAACCTTTGTAGAGTACCCGTCCTCCTCTCCTCCCCCCGGAACCTGTTCATGAGACCACGTCGACCTTCAAGAAGACTGGAATCATATAAAAAGAAACTAATTTAAAAAAATCATAGCAAATTCGGACAGTCATTACCTGTGCGGTTGCCTCTCCATCAGCTTCGTTTGTAGGAGCCTTCCCATGATTGTCGTAAGCACTCACTTTAATGGTAAACCGCTGACCCTTCTTCCCTTTGAAGTTACTTGCTGTCGTTATGAATCCTGTGTTCTCATCGATCTTGAAAAAGCCACCGTCATTTCCAGATGATATTCTATACTGCACCGCACTGAAGTTACCCGCGTCTCTGTCTGTAGCCTGCGATAAAAATAGACGTTACCCTAAATAGCATTGCTAACCCAAATTCGCAATTAGCCAAGGAGTTCACAAAAGCTACTCACATGGTAAAATTTCGCAGATACCATATCTGGCGAATTTCATTGTCAAAATAAGTATAAGAGGGGCTCTAAACGTATCGGACAAAGCGCAACATGGGACGAAATGTTATTTAAAATACTCATTTTATAGTTGTTTTTACCCACCCTGATTTTCATGATGAAAGTGTTTAGATCTGCACCTTCTGCAATACCTAAAAATAAAATATTTAAAATTAATTCAAAATCACGAGTTTCAAATCACCAAAAGTCACTTGTTTCCACGTGTATCATGAAATCGAAAAGTATCACCAGACTGTAGTTACCCGTACAATTTATGTTTAAAGTTAAGGAGTAGCCAGTTAATGTACAGTCCATTTGTATTTCAATCTATTGAGTGAACATTGTTTTTTTTTGTTTTTTTTGTTTTTCAATCTATTGTTAGAGAATGTTTTGCAAGGTGCTGTGTGAATCATTTCCAGTTACTTTAATGAAATTTGCACTTTTTAAACTCATTTATTACTAACGGGTTGTAATTAAGGACTCCCCTCTCTCCGTCACCCCCACCCCCCACAACCATAATGGCGGTGTTTTTTCATCAATTTTGCACGTGATTAGTCTATGTTTGTAAGAAAAACAATCAGAAGGCTTGCAGTTTTGGGCGTTATCTAACGGAATGCATAGAGCCTTGCTTTCCCGCCACAATGCACGTGTCACCCAGAAAATTATGTGGCGCAGCCCGGGAGAACACAGATATGCAATACGTACAACAGCCATTAGTGAGGTCATTGGTTTTCTTACCTCCCGTAAAAAGTGGCCTGATAAACGTTGGGGCGTTGTCATTTATATCAGTGATAGCTACCGTAACGGTTGAAGTGTCATACAGATAACCCTCAGCTGAAAGAATAATGTTTATCGTAATTAGTAAATAATTATTAAGACACTAAAATCTGCTTGCGATCCAAAGTGAGCTGACTCAAACTGAAGATTTGATGCCCATGTTTTTGATAAAATAGAAAAAAAAGTAGAGAAATCAAAGCATACTCTTGAATTTAATTGAAGAGATGTCATACCGTCCACATTTCTCTGCCGTGGTCGGCTTGTCTCATTAAAGGCCTTGGTTTCATAGTTATAAGCTCCAACCACTAGCGAATAGGTGGCAATTCTTTCCCTATCCAATCCTCTGTTTACGTACACAGAGCCAGTGTTGTCTATGCGGAAATCACCTGGTGAAAGGAAGTGACTGAATCTGTCATCAGGGTTTCGGTTAGCGTCGATTCGGTTCTTTTAATTGATAGCACACTACCCTTAGCTGAGTGCGTCTACATCTGTTTTGGGATATTCCAAATTTTTACAGCCAGCGTCCGTCATATTAAGTTTTCATAGCCGGCTTTTATACTACTGTCTGTCCAAGTGGAAATATAGAAAATCCATACATATTGTTACACTAAGAATCACGTTAATGTTAAACAACCTGCCAATCGAAACAAAGACAACCCTCATACGGGTCACCAGCTTGTCAACAGGGGGGTGGGTGGGTTCTTCTTCAACAGTCTTTTCACCCTTTATCCCCTCTAACTAACCTGTTTGCATTTTGCATTGTAGGGTATGATATCACTTTCACACAACTCAGAACACGTAAATAACCAATACGTTCCTCGTGCTCTCAGCAACATCGATAAAAATTTTCCTGACGCACTGCAACACGTTTCTTGATACACTGTTACCTTGATCATCTCCACTTATAATCTCGTAGGTTATTTCAGCATTAGTTCCCGTATCTTGGTCTGTTGCTCTGACCTTGATAACTGAGCGACCAACAGCAGCGGCCTCCGACACTGAAGCACTTTAAGAGGACAAGACGTATAAGTACAGAGGTACAAGACAAATTTACTATTGGTATTTATATCAGTTAAGGGTAATTTTTTTTTTTTACTTTTATTCCATTAAACGTCTTTTAAAGATGTAGACGTTTCCTCCAAAGTGAGCTATATAAGGAATATTAAATGTAGAAATAGCATCAACTCAGAATAAAGTGGAAGTTTCTCAACAAAAATGATTGCGGTATTAAATTTAAATTCAGGATTAGGTACTTCAAAATGATTTGACATTTTTTGGCAAAGACTAATTCCCCAATAATGTTAAAGCGAAGCTGAAATCATATAAAACAAAAACATCGAGACACTTTAACATTACCATGATGCATCTGACAAAGATGCAATGATTTCGTCTACCAAAACAGGTAAAACAAAAAAGCACGCTAACGTTTATCTTTTAGACAGGGTAAAAGAAAAACATACCTATAGGATTGTTTATCAAATATGGGCTGGTTGTCATTTACATCTTCAACAGTAACGTGTACAGGTACAACGGACGAGAGGGGCTGGGGCGATCCAAGGTCCTTGGCCTCTACCATGACCATAAATCGTCTGTATTCTTCTTCGTCAATGGTGTTTTTCAGCGTCATTATTCCTGAATCTTGATTTATGCTAAACACGTTTGTGTTTACTTCGTCGTATAGAATTCTGTACAACACTCGCCCGTTCGTCCCCTAGGAAAAGATATTTAAGTGCTTATTTACGTCCAAGAAACTGTTTCTGTGCATTAGTAGTGGTTCAAGATTTCAAACTTGTTTTTCATTGAAAATTAATTCAAACATGGTCGTGAGCTGGAAGTCAATAGAACGTTGTTGACGCCTCAAATTCTTTTTAGGACCGAAATTTATCCTTTGAAGTTGTTGTAGTTGGTGTTGTTGGTGTTGTTGTTGTTTTGTTTAGTTTGTTCGTGTCTGCTTTACTTCAGTTTGAGTCACACGTTGTCTAGTTGGGTGATTTTAAGTGAAAACTGCTCTAGACATGCTGATATTTCAAAGAGCCAAAGTCAATGGTGAGTAGCTGTATGAAGTTGCTAACTTTGTCCCCTGCCAGCACAAGACAAGGTCTTGAGACCCATCAAGAAGGCATCATTCAACATTCATGCCTGTTCTCTGACTACTGACATTGCAATTTGATAAAGAAGTTGATGAAAATTCTGAGTGACTCGCTTACAAAAACAACACACGCTGCCTCGGACTACATGTACACATCCTCAGTGGACATCTGGGTTATAATTACTAGCTTGACTTTAGTAGCTTCAAAGAAAAAACACACTCCTTTTGACTATACATCCTAGACATCTATCTGGTTTGCTAGCTTGCCTCAAGTAGAGCTTAAAAAAACGCATGCATACAGTGTCTTTGGCCAAACAACCTAACCATCTGGTTTCCCCGTTGCCCTAAGTAGCTTCCAAAATAAAAATACACTGGTTATATTCAAACACCAACCAGATCTTTATCTTGCGCGGACACTTTCACGATGGACGTCCCAGCTTTGTCTCCCTCGGAGATGGTCTCGTTGTAGCTTGAAACACTAAAGCGAGGCGGTTCATCGTTGGTGTCCAGGACATTGACTCTAACCGTCGTGCTGCTGCTCAGAGAAGGATTGGACGCGATGTTTGTTGCTGATACTGTAAGATCGTAAATCCTAGTCCTCTCGCGATCCTAGATCAAATAGACAGGACTGGATAACTTATCATGGATGATGTTTCAAAATGGAATCTAACATAACATGAAATACTACAAATTATTAATTAGTTGTTTGTCCTTCCAGTAAAATTAAACGTAAAGAATTACCTCTGTCTTTTCAGTGAAGCTTGAGTTCTCGTAGGAATACTCATTAGCTAGAGGGGTTTTACTCAACCCCTACGAGAATTCCCTCAACACAGGCTGCAATTACTTTTCTGAACTTTAAATTTATTTGATTTTTTTTAAGTCGTAGAAGCACCCAATACGATATATTCTTCCATGAGTCTACTGGAATCATTTTAACGTAAATTCCATCATAAGTTTACCAAGTACTTACCAAAGGTTTCCTGGTAAAAATTGTTCCTGAAGTTCCGTTGATATTAAAACAGTTATCCACGTCTCCTTCTGGCGTAAAAAAGGTAATAATAAAGGAAAGCAAAATCATTTACTCGTGCTCATACGCCTTGCTTCCAGATTGCAGGTAAAATGGGCAAAACAGCAAAAGTGTAGTAAGGTAGTCCTTACTATTAAAGCAGGTGCTGTTGTGACCCATGGCCTAGACTGGAAAAGAAGGTTCTCCTTTATGTCAAGGTAATATTCATTCACAAAACTTATGCTGATGTTTTTGCCACTGTTCAGTTACTGACTAATTTCAAAGCAGGTCATCTGTGATTTGCTATTCTACACTGCATTACGAACTTTGGCACTCGAGGAGACAATTTCATGGAGGGAGGAAAATTTGGAGGGAAAACAAACCTGCAAAAAGAAGCCTTATCTTGCTATGAAGACCTTTGATGTTTGACATTTTCCAATATCTATAACTGTTAGCGTTACTCAAGGGTTGGTACTGCTAGCCACCGATTGCGGTCCAATGAACTATTTCTTAATCATACATAATCAACACTACGTTAGTTTCGCCGGGAAGGACATTTGAAGGGATTATTTTCTCATAATAGATTAAATTAAGAATTATCACACTGACAACCAATAAGGACCTACCGGTAATGGAATACGTTATTTCAGCGTTCTTCCCGATATCTTTATCCTCAGCAAAAACCTTTCCAATAGTTGTGTTCACTGGTTCGTTTTCAGTCGCCATGAACGGTCCAAAAGTCTGAAAAAAATAGTCTTGGTTAATAAGTTGTTTATAATTACTGTTAGGAAAAAGTCAACCTCTTTTAGGGTATACTCTACCAAGTATGAATTTAAGTCTACTTACGGTTGTAAAGCGTGGTGTGTTGTCGTTCATATCAAGAATCTCGACATCTACTGTTCCGAAGTCCATATACGGAACTGTTCCTTGATCACGTGCCATGACAATAAGCTACCGGTAAGGTACAATATAGGAGTCAAGTCATGGGGTGTTGTAATTATTGTGAACACTCTGACGATGATCTCAGTGATCAATGCCATGATTTTTACATATTTAGTACTCGCCGAAATGTCATCTGTTTTCGTTTTTCTTTGAGGGAGGGAAGTCTACAGCCCAGAATTTTAGCAATTTGATCCAACGCTTCGCCGGTGGGATTTATACTGCTTAGTGGAAAGGGATTGTGAGCTGAAGAGAATTCTGACCGAGACCACAACAAATGACCCCGGCGGCCTAAGCTTTAATTCGAATCATGCGTCCGTCGCTCTTCCATTGGCTAGGCCACCGCGCCTCAAATGTTTAAAAAATCGATTGAAGGTGCTGTATCATACGTTTTCATTGAATGGAAAATTGAATGGAAAACACCCAACAAACAATGCATGTAATTAACAGGAGGAAAAGAAAAACGATAGTTAAGTTTCAGGAAGATTAAGATGGATTATGAAAACAGTTGAAACTAAAATTAAACAGCAGTATGGCAACATGTACCGTGTAGGAATCCTTTTTTTCTCGGTCCAGAGCTCCAGCTGTTGTTATTATACCGGAAGTAGCATTAATGACAAACTTCCCTTCCTCGCCGTGCATGATGGCATATTCCACTTTCCCGTTCAGCGTGATGTCATCATCAGTTGCATTAACGTCATAAACAAAAGATCCACTGTTTACATTCTAAACAAGAAAAGAAATACCAAGGGTATTCAGTAAGACAATCAAAAATTTAAGATACCAACCAGTTACGTTCAGCAATTCATAGCAAAAATATCATGGAGATAAATGTTTGCTCATAAAATCGTATTCATATGTGGTGTTTATCAACCTTGGTTTTTGTTCATTTTCACATATCTACATTTTGTTGCTATGGTTATCTTCAAAGTATTTTCCTGTGTTCTCTGCCTGAAACTTGCCTGTTTGGTTTTCTTTTCTTTTATTACTATTCTTTTTGATTTTACACAATTTGATTTCTGACTAAGTTTAATGTATTTGCTTCTATTAGTTCTTTTCGAATTTTACAAGGCTGTATATTTTCTATTAAAGTAACAAGATAATCTAAGCTCTAATCAATACCTCAAAAACAGAGGCCTCGCTCTTCTGTGGTCTTATCACAGGTGAATTGTCGTTAACGTCAGTCAGGAAAAATTCCACTTCTGCTTTGTCACTTCTCTGAGGTTCCCCATCATCCACCGCGAACACGCTGATGCTCAAGATGTCTTTGACTTCACGGTCCAGCGGTTTCGCCACAATTATTTCTCCAGTTAGCTCATGTATTGAAAACAGTCCTTCAAATGAATTATTCAAAACTTGTTTATCAAGTCAGTATTTTATTTGATTAGTTAATGTTTTTTTCACCTGCTTCTTTTGCGCCACTTCAAGTCGTATTTTAAAACACATCATACAAATAACTCTGACTAGCTTGGGCAATAGACCCAACCCATCGAACTTGGCTCATGACGCCGAGGCTTAAAAGTTTATGCTAACCGTTTTTACCTTTGCGAAACAGTGGTTTACCAGCGAAAGTCTGGATGTGACGAGAATTGAAGTCTTTGGGTGTTCGCAATGCAAGGAACTTCGCAAGCTCCTGGCNTTTAATTGTTGATAAAGCTGAAATATAGACAAATAATTTGCGTAGAATTTCAGCAAAACATTTTAAAAGACCATTCATTACCTTTGCGTTTTCTCCAGCGTCTTCGTCAGTCGCAATGATTTGATCAAAGTAAGTGTCTACCGTAGCATCCTCGGACACGCCCAGGTTGTAGGAATTTTGTGAGAATTTAGGTTGATTGTCGTTAAAGTCTGTGACGGTGATATTAAGGACAGTATACGACGTAAACTGCGGATGGCCATTGTCAGTTGCAGAAATATTTAGAATGTAAAACTTGTCCGCCATCGATTCGTAGTCAAGACGGCTAGAAGGACGAACAATGCCAGAAGATCCTGAAAACACAAAGTAATGGTAAACGGGCGAAAGATCGCCTGGTTGAACCTTTTAAAGGAGCTCTGTCAAGGTATTTTGAGTTGTTTTAGCCACGTACAAAATTATCTTTAAACTGAAGGTAAACGTAAAATGATAGTTTACTAAGATAGGCACACAGCAAAGAGATACTAATAAACCACAAAGGAACAAGGATGGTTAAGGATGGAGGAGATTGACACGGATTACAAACGACGAACTTGAACAGTTTGGGCTAAACTTTTTAAGATGTGCAAACCGAGACGTAGCTCCTTTAAAATTAGCAGGGTCAGATCAACCCCCATTCACTCATTAAAATCATCAAGATATATTGCCGTATCTGACCTTCAATGATGAACTTTCCGTCTGCGCCGTCTATGATATTGTAAGTAACAGCAGCATTGTTTCCTTCGTCAGCGTCCAGCGCTGTAACTCGTATTACCTTTTAAAGGCGACAAAATATCTCAAACTCACTTTTGCACAGAAAAATATATCTAATACTAAAAAAGTAAAAGAGTCATGCATTAATAGCGATTCCTTTATACACGATTCCCAAAATTTAACGCCCGGAAATTTATTCCGATAAGAAAAGATGATTTTTCTCCCGTTTTCCCACTCAAGTAAATGTTCTAAATTCTAAAACCAACTGGATAGTGAAACTAAAAAGCATTAAGGCAGTGAAATCCTAATACAATGTAAAGCGTTTTATGATATACCTGAAATCCTCCGAAAGCGTTCTCTGGTACTGACGCAGTGTACACGGGTTTCGTAAACACTGGTGGGTTGTCATTAGTATCGATGACCAGTACTTCAACTGTTGTAGTGCTGTTCATAGATGGAATGCCTTTGTCTTTGGCCTGAAACATGACGAGCAAAGAGTAATGATGTTAGTGTCGCGAAGTTAGTTTTTCTATGTTGTGTTTCGTGTGATATTACGACTAATAAGGGCACACGTGACATATAGGGTATTTTGCAGCCTGACTTATTTGCTAAATCGATACGAAATACAAGCAATGTTTCGTCACTACTCTTTCACTCTTCGAAATAAAAGCGATTCTTGATTCTCATCACGAAGTAGAAAACAAAATTAAATTTTCTTTACTCGCGCCATCATGTCGTCAACAGCTCGTGACTTGTTCTCAGAGTGTTTCTAAAGAGTGACAAGAGTACAGCTTTCAGCGCGCACTTTCATACAATGTCCTTTCTTTAAAAAGAAATCTGCACGAAACTTCTTTACGAAATACTACGTTGCATACAGTGTAGAAGAAAGAAGATTCCATCTTGAATTCATCACATCATTAGATACAGACCAATGATAGTATTCGCTTATAATTATCAAACGCTGTTTTCATCGTCGCTCTTGATAATTACGTTATCGTTGTCCACTCTTTAATCTGTTGTTGTTGTCGTTGTTGCTATTGCTGTTACCGCTGTTACCATTGTTGTTGTTGTTGCTATTGTTGATGTTTGTCGTTATTGTTGTTATTGTTGTTGCTTTTTTGCCGTTGTTGTTGCTGTTGTTTTTATTGTTGCTGTTGCTGTTGTTGTTTTTGTTGTTATTGTCACTGTTTTTGTTGTCGTTCCTCTTTTTGTTGTTGTTTTTGTTATTGTTGTTGTTATTGTTGATGCTGTTGTTGTGTTGTTGTTGTTTCATATATATAGCCCTTTTCAGGGTTAGCTTTTCTTACTTGCATTCCAATGTAATTCAACGTGGATGCGAGGCAATTTTGGGCTGAAACAACAAAATAGCCCGAAATTGCCTCACGTACATGCAGGATTTTGTAATGCAAATGAGAAAAATAAACCGTGTAAAGAGCTACTATTGCCATTTAGTGCACCCTCTTACCTCCACTGTCAGAATATACTTGTGCTGTAGTTCACGGTCTAGACTATGTGAAGTGCTAACATAACCAGTGTCCGGATTAATGATGAAAGGAAGAGTAACTAAAACAAAAAGATACATTACAAAATTCGTACACGCAAGAAAGATATGAGGCCCTATTAGAGGTTTTCGGTACCCTGCTAAAAATCCGCTGACGGTGTTACGAATGTTTCACAGAACACAATTTGGACCAAACAAATCTCTATCAACAAGCCTCTGATTGTGTGACGGTTGTAAAGTGTTTTGTCTGGTTGCCGGTATTCTGTACTTAATTTGGTCTTTTTTCAGTCATCAATGTGACCGTACAACAGAAATAAGCCAAGACTTTATCAAACTATGAAGTGGGTGCTTTTTTCTTGAAATAAGTATTGACCATTATACTATCTAAATCTTACCAGTTTCATATTCTCGTGAAATTAAATATGAAAGAAATTTGATATAATTTTGTAAGTAAACCATACCTTCATCTTTGCCAGTAGACTCGCACCCGTACATCTCGAGCCTTAAGCAGATTTTGTTGTTCCATGACTGAGGGTGAACTCGCACGTATCGTGCTTGAAATGGGGGAAGAACCCGATTAGTGTTGATGCTGTCACCATCGGTGTTACCCACAAAAACCTACGAAACAACAGGTATAATAATTTCAACAAGGACACCTTAGCAGTTAGCCTAGTGCGTAATTTTACAACGTTGCTTACTTTTAAAATAAGGGGCTATGGCCCAGGTCTGCCACTCATAGCCCTCTGGAGTTTCACAACTTGTTATTTAGCAGTAACGAGCCAACTCGATGGTGGGTCAGGGAAGTGAACTGAACGCAGTAGACAGCCGTTTTAGCTCAAAAGTGTCAGTCACAAATACCCGGAACTGGAATGGCAGTCTTTTAAGCTGTATTGACTGGTAATTTAAAACAAATATGATTCGCATTTTACCTCTCTATGGAATTCAAAAGGGTTTCCATCTAAGCTGAATGACAGTTTGAAGCTTTCAACGTAGTCATTGGACCCAGGCCTCCCCTGAGTGGCGATTTTTGTCACTTTTCGCATCCCTCGGAAGTCGATTTGCAGATACTGCTGTTTGTTATTCACCCCGGCACACCAAGCACCTGAAAAACATTATTACCAAAATGTCATTTTCACAACTACATTACCTGAAATTTTCTCAAGTGAGCTGTCTGGTGCTTTGTATGAGTAGGAAGGAAAAACGATTTGTCCATAAAAATATCCATAAAAATCTCGTGATATCTGTCAGCAAAAAAATAACAGAGCTGCAATGATAAAAGTTCGGGCTATTTTTCAGTTCTCAGTCAAACGTTTCTAGGCTGTTAGTCTTATCTCCACCCTTTTTATCATGTCTCTTACCTTTTAAAACATACTTTTAAGTTAGTGTAAATATTTTTTATTCATCTTATTCATATGCCTGTTTTAATCTATGAAGAACATGTTTTTCAACGATATTTTTGTAGAACAGTTTTTGTCTATTTTTTTTAGTTTTTAGTAACATTTTGACAAGCGCAGTTGATTATTTAACCGAAATTTACGCTTTATAAATTTCAAATATTACTCAATTATTAAATCATAAATACTAAGCACCCAAGTTTTTTCATCACGAGCAGCACAGAAAATTATTTGGTATTTTCTCTCAGTTTTCAAACTGAAAGTTCGCCAAGTTAAGGTCCAGTTGGCAACGTTCTGAGAGTTTTGGGCTGCTATTTACCTTTATAAGAAATTCCAAATCGGTTGAACACCTTGTTATTAAGTCTTCCCAGTGTTGGAGAGTAATCCTCGTTGGGGACTGTGTACGTGCTTGTCGCGCTTGTGTCACTGGCTCTTACGTCACCATTCTCCAGTCCCAGGGGAGTTTCACAGTCAGTGTGGATCGAGATCATTGATAGCCCTGGACCTTAATCAAAACAGATATTTCCATCAGTTCCTTCCTAGCTATAAAGACCGTTTCTCCCTAAACAATGTTAGTTTAACAATCTAAGTTCGTACTTTGTTAAAAAAATATACGCTTCAGATCTTTTCATAACACTTCTAATTTAAAACTTAAAACTCAGTATCCCCGCTAGCAATGAATTAATTTGCAAACCCTTGCTGGTGATACTTCGCCTAAATAGTAGAACCTTACCAATATTTGCATGTGTAATAGCGTACTCAACCACCGCATTCTGCCCGACATCGCTGTCGAAAGCCTGTAGTCGGCCCACTCTAGTCCCCAGGGGTGCATCCTCCATGACGGTCATTTTGTATGGAGAGTGGAACTGGAATCGAGGAGCGTTGTCGTTATCGTCGGTCACATGGACAGTAACCTTAAAGAAGAAATTTAGAGTGGTACTTTTAATTTATGAAGTAACAATTAAGTTTGTTGAACTGTGACATGAAAGGAGAGCCCATCAGACGGTGACACTCAGAAACCCGCAAATCGAGCTATAATCGAGGAGTATCATGGCCCACACCCATGACGAATATAAGAGCAAAGGATTACAGTCGACCCTCTACTTACAAACACCTCTAGAATACGTACACCACTACATCACTTAGTCCGAGAGAAACCAGTTTTCATATCAGGTCTTCCTGTACAATACGGACATCCTTCATAATACAGACACTCAGCTTTGGACCTTTTGGTGTGTTTATAAAAAGAGGATTCATTGCCCATCATTTACCATTTCTAAGTAAAGCGGGATGGCAGAAATTGTCAGGGCGTTAAACCCTGGC